TGCAAGGAAGAGGTCTGCGGAGGACCGAGGCGTAAACTGCTTAGGCCATACGGGCAGCGGGCAGCAAGCCTGGAAGTGTCATGACATGTAACGTTTGATATCCTCCAAGACTTGTAGCTGCTAGTCTGAAGTCCCTGTTGTGTTGCTTACTTGTTAGGAGGCCAGGCATAGTGTTTGCTAAGTACCCTTATATTTGCGAGTTCTCTGACTTTAGAGAGCACTAGTCCTTTTTAAATACACAACTAATTAGATAAGATCATGGCAGATAATTTCTTTTTTCAGGAAGTTGATAACCCCTCGTTGTCCTAAGTTCTGTCCATAAAAAGGAATGAAGTTTACAGTATGTACTCCTTGGAAGCCAGGAATTGGAACGATTATCTTAAAATTCTGCCATGCATAGTATTGAGTATCACATTTTCAGTGAGTTTGAAGAGTAAAGAATAATGGATGTGATAGGATGCCTTGACCCAGTTAAATGTTACATCCTGAAGTTTTAATATGAAGAATAAAGGTGGCAGGGAAATTAAGGTTTAAAGAAATAGGATGCCCATCCCTCCTTCCACTGGGAACGTAGGTGAAGGCCAAACTTCTGGCTTTACTCGGGTAGCTATAGTAGTCACCTTTCTCCATATGAAAATTACCTCCCTTTTGAAAGAATTATATGCTGAAACTTAGCACTTAAAAGAATTTCTTTGGTTTCATGTTAATATAGTTTATTATCTGCAAATGCAAATCATTACTATAAGCTGGAAATTCTAGAAATGTTTGAAAAGTGGCAAAACCTGATTATTTGTAAAAGTGTTTATAATATATCTACATCATAAAGTATAAAAATAAAGTTTGAAAGGTGTGTTCTGTGACTTTTGAGTTTAAAATCTAGTTCTAAATTAGTTTTTAAAATTTTTTAAGTTATTTATTTATATGGTACAGGGTATAGCAGTGCAGCTGAGACTCCTAGTGATCCTCCTGTCTCACCCTCCCCAGTGCTGGGATTACAGGTGTGCACCACCACGACTGGTTTTAGTGGTTGAGTTGGCGCAGGGCCGGCATGGCACACAGTGCTGGGGTCAGACCCATGTCCTTGCATTTACCAGGCAGGAGCTTAAACCACGAGCTATCTCCTGTCCTAAATGTATATTTTTAAAGAAAAACAAGACTCGTGAAATTGAC